CGACATTTAAAGACCACGACAAGCCACGACACTACGCTGACTCCACGACACTACACTAAAGTACCACAACACTACAACTACAACTACACAACTACACTCCACTACACTAAATTACACTACACTACACTACATTACACTACACTACACTCCACTACACTACACTACATTACACTACACTGCACTACCTTCCACTACACTTCACTACATTACGCTACACTCCACTACACTACAACTACAACTACAACTACACAACTACCCTCCACTACAATACACTGGTTTGTTCAGGACGGTATGCCGTCGGTGACAATGTCCTCTGTACACCCGTTCCCGCATCTCTGGTAACGATGCCCACACGCTGGCACGGTGTTGGGATCGGAAGGGGAGTATTTGGTCTCGGCCCGTTCGGCTGTTCCGGACAGAACGCCATAAAGATTGACACTGGCTCTGCCGGAGGTGGTGGAACTGCTGGGGCAGGGGCAGGTCCGGGTGATGTTGATCCTCCCGGATTTGCAGTCCCAGCAGGCCCAGTAGTTCCAGGGGCACTGACCGTTCCTGGTGTCCCCTAGCTTAAACCCCTGTTTTGTTGGAGAGAAATGGCCCTAAATGAGGATTGGTGTACCGAGATTCTTGATGGTGAAGATCTTCGTGCGTTTGCGGTTTACACCCTATAAATTTGGTTGGCGGTAAACCATGAAACCTCCATTTTCCCCAGTTCAATCCCCAAAGAATTTGTAGCCTCTGAGGTAACTTGGAAAAAAAGTGCTAAGGAGTTAGATTAATATAGCACCATTTATAGCAAAATGTGTACTAAACGACCCGTCCAGTTGGTTTCAGAGTCCCCACTCCGAACAAAATGAAGTAAACCTCGATTTTCCCATGGTGTTTTTGACGAAAATCTCCCAGTGAAAAAAGGAGTAGATTTCTCTCTGAGATGCCACACCCATCATGTGAGTAGCGCCCAAGACACGGAGCAGCACCTCACAGGGCGAGGGATTTTGCAAGTACCATCAAGTACCATCCCTTCATCTAATGGCAATTTCATGGGCATTTAATGGGGATATCCTGGAATTTCATTGCATTTAAGGTGATGCAATCAGGGAGTTGACCCCAAATTTTGATGAACTTAGACAACGCGATTTAGCCAACAAAAAATGGGATACAGTATCACCAAGAAAATTGATAATTGAACCAGGAAAAATATGAAAACACTGGATTTCAGTCAAAAACCACAAAAATCCTGAGAATCGCCTATCCCAGAAATGGACATCACAGGCTGTTTACTGTATCATTGGGGGAATCATCCAATATATCGAAGGCCCAACTTGTAGCATGTTTGCGCAGGCGCGCAGCAGTCTTGTGACGAGAAGTGGAAAAGCAGAATGCTTCCACATTGCTTTCCTAAGGTACCCTAACTTGGCTGCTACCAGGGTAACTACATCTAAATCTACGAATTTTTAAGTATGCAAACTGCTATTTTAGACTACCTCCGGGAAGGTTTGCCCCTTCGGGGCCTGGCCTTGTGGTCCGGCCCTCCATAAGCCCGACAAATAAATCAAGGCATCGGGGGATTTCTCGGCCTTCCCTTATGATCACAAAAAGACCACTAGAAACCATTGATTAACCATCACTATTAACCAACCAGATATATAGATATTCATGATCCAAACCACTAACCAGTATAACTATAGTATACTATAGTATTCATCCGGGTAAATTATAATATGTCACTAACCTGAATCTTGCGGCCATAAAAGGGGATGATTTCCCTTACCATAATTATAGTGAGGGAGAACAGGGCTCGGTCGTGATTAAATTTACCCAGTTTTTTCCCGAGAGCGTCTGAGCGCAGGGTTCTTCCAATAGTGGGGGTCTGTATCTCATCTTCTCACCTTCACACCTTCTCATCTTCACACCTTCTCTCACACCTTCTCATCTTCACATCTGCTCATCTTCACATCTGCTCATCTTCACATCTTCTCTTCACATCTGCTCATCTTCACATCTGCTCATCTTCACATCTGCTCATCTTCACATCTGCTCATCTTCACACCTGCTCATCTTCACATCTGCTCATCTTCACATCTGCTGATCTTCACATCTGCTCATCTTCACATCTGCTCATCTTCACATCTGCTCATCTTCACATCTGCTCATCTTCACATCTGCTCCTCTTCACATCTGCTCATCTTCACATCTGCTCATCTTCACATCTTCTCTCACATCTGCTCCTCTTCACACCTTCTCTCACACCTTCTCATCTTCACATCTTCTCTCCTTTCTCTCTCCCTTTTCTCTCTCCCTTTTCTCTCTCTCGCCTTCTTTATCTTTCTCTCTTTAGGCCGAGGGTGGTGCCGGCGGGGAGTCACGAAACGTGAGCCCTTTCGCACGAAATGAGGGTCGATCGGCAAAAACTGAGGAAAAATTGCGATTTTACTTGTGCCGGAGGAACCCTTTCGCACGAAATGAGGGTCGATCGGCAAAAACTTAGGAAAAAATGCGA